CGTGGAGAACCGGGGAAACACGGACTTCGCTTTCCTGAAGCCCTCGGGTGGGTAACCGCCTTCCTCCGAGAGTCTCTTAACACTTCCGAGGGTGTTTCTGGTCCTCCGGATGTTTGGATTTTTTTTTTATTTGTTGGGGTTTTTTTTGGAGTCAGTTTTGAGGCTGGTTGGAAGCTTGGGCAGCCCCGGCAGAGCATGGCTGTTTGCGTGGGGGAAGAAGGGGGCCACTTTTTATTTGTGTGGAGGACGCAGGGTTTAGCCTGCGAGCTATGTGGCTTTCTGGTAGTGCCCAAGTGTGATTTAAGAGATAATTTTAAACAACAAATCCTTTAGAATAGCTAAACGATAGCTGTGTTAGATGGTTGTCGTTCCTTTAGCAGATCTTATTCCTCACAGCATGGTGTTGCCTTCCAGGAATCAGGCCCTTGGATCAGGCTGGAGCCGGAGTCTGGCTGCCAGCTGGGATAGGCTCTAACTGCGCTGCCAGATGTATGTGGCCAGAGGCTGGAGCTCTCAAGGATGGGCAGTGCTTGCATCTCCCCCCCAGATTTCTGGGAGAGAGTTAGGAGAGCACAGAAAAGAATTTTTCTTCAATAGTCATCTCCTGTGGGGGCTGTAAGACTTTTACAGTATCTGAATCTCAGGATGTTGTATAAATGGATGTTTTGTAGTGTAAAATGTTAAATAGGGAGCGCACGCTGCCATTGAATAACAGTCTGCACAGTGGCTATTGCTGATTTCCTTCCAAAACATCCGTATAGGAGCATAAAACTCAAGGGTGCTTGGTCGTTAAAATCAGCTTTTTGTTATTATGGGTAACTATATTATGTAACTCTTTCTGCTCACCGACTGCATGCCGTTTTTAATCGGTTTTCCTACAAGACAGAGCACCTCTTTGCTGCTTCTACCATCACTTCCCAACCCTGGGGCACTGGCAATAAGGTAGTTTCTAAAAGAAATGTAACTGTGCCAGTGTAGCTTTGTGCCTAAAATAATAGGAGAAGCAAACAGTGCATCCTGCTGGTGTTAGGGGTAGAACAAAACATCTTTAGAAAATGCTGTTCTGAAATATCTGAGGTTAATTACCTTGCCTGTAATTACCAGACTTGCTTCATTTCACCACCAAAGGCAGAGCCCGTGTCTGATCCTTGACCACGCTGGCTGCAGATTCACAAGCCTAGGGTGGGCCTTGTGTTTTGCTGTGTGTACTCTTTCTGAGCTCTGCAGGTACGTAGTGTGGTGGCCGTCCCTTGTCCCGCAGTGGGCTGCGTTATGTTTTGATATTTCCCTTTTTCTCTTTAGGGCTGAGTTACCCTGCTTGTGCACGGCTGCCTGGTGTGAGAACCATTGCGGGGTTTTCATAGTCATCGAGTTCTGGGCTATCTTTATCCTGTGCATATTGCACCCCAGCTCCGTGTCTTCTTTTCATTTTCTTCTTTGTGTCATGGTCATAGCTGGCTTTAGCTTCATTTGCAAGTTCAAACTCAGTTTGATTTTTTTGCAATTCTTGTAAAACCTTTTTGCCTCTTGAACCCTCAGACTTTTTAATGACTTTTTTTTTTAGTCAGTGCATTTTTTTCCTTATTTGTAGGCTATGCTTATTTCCGTATTGAATTGTGAAGCAATCTTTCATTTGGTTAATTTAGGGCCTTTCTTGCCAAGTCTTTTCTTTTTCTTCTATACACAAATTCCAGGTAATTTTTTTGCTTGTTTGTTTTTGACAGCCCTCACAAAAATGAATTTCAGGTGATATCTGCACTCGTGTCCGTGGTTCCTCAGTCCTGACAGTGTCATGCATTAGTTCCCTGAGTTTATTAAGATGTAACCATTTCAAATCAAGAAACTTAGAACTGGGATCTATTCTGGTCTGTTCTTCTCTTTAAACCAGGCAGAATCCAGCTCACTTGTATTTTCCATAGTTAATCTTTTTCTGTATTTACTAACCTCTAAAACAACATCATTTCTTGTTTGTTTGGAGAATACTGGATGAAAGTATTTGGCTGTGGCACTCTGCACTCCCACCACTATTAGTACTGTTTGCTTTTACATGTGGGAAGTGAGGCTCCCAGAGGCACAGAAGTTGGTGCTGTGCTAGAGGTCTCCATCCAGACTGCAGTGAGATGGAAGGGTGCTATAGCCAACGGCCTGCGCTGCGTGACAGAACTTCTCTTTTTTTTTGTTTAGTTTCACCCAGGCTGCCCCATTGTGTTTCTTTTCTGTTGCTTCGTTCGTGTCCATTCATGTGGTGCCATCTTGGTCTCTTATTTCTTCCTTTCTGAATATGAGGATTCTCCAGCTCCAAGGCTGGTTTTGGTCATATTTCTGAGATCGCTAGAACCTATCACTTTTGTGTTCTTTGCCCCTTGTAGGCCTGCCTCTACCCATACACAAATACTTGGTTTGTTTCTTATTGCTCAAACCCTCATTAGAAGGCTGTGCAGGTCTCTGCCATAGAATTATAGAATCGTTTGATTGGAAGGGACCTTAAAGACCCTCTGGTTCCAGCCCCCTTGCCATAGCCAGGGACACGTTCCACCAGACCAGGTTGCTCAAAGCCCCATCCAAGCTGTCCTTGAACACTTCCAGGGATGGGGCAGCCACAGCTTCTCTGGGCAACCTGTGCCACTGCCTCACCACCCTCACCGGGAAGAATTTCTTCCTAATATCTAATCTAAATCTTCCCTCTTTCAGTTTAAGGCCATTACCCCTTGTCCTGTCACCTACATACCCATCATTGTTAGTTTTCTGCCATTCATTTTCCTTCTCACTGGCTGCTATTCCTTTATCGTCACTTGCCTGGTTTTATTCCTCCTGCGTACTAAAACCAGGCATCCAGGGAATATATCTCTCCCAGCCTTCTCTCCTGGCTTTATATAAAGTTGCTTATTGTTTTGCCAGCCTTGATTCTGGTGGGCTGGTGTTCCTCACACTTGGGGAGCTCAACCATCAAGGAGGGTCCTTGTACTATGAGTGTTTCTGGCACTTAAAAACCTTCATATCTTCCTTGTCCTTGAATCATGTTGATTTTTGTTATCTTTTCATAACTCAGCTGTGCATCTGAGGGCTGGAAGGGTTCCTCTGACTGGCACTTGAAATGGTGTTTCTATGTTCATCATCCTTGTTGCTGGTCTGCTTGTCCAGCATCTGTTCCTGTGAGGATCTCGGTATCATCTCCCAATGTGAGTGGGGTCAGTGGGTTCTTCCAGACCTAAACCACCTGTTCTTATATCTGATCTTAGTAGCATCATCCTGTCCTCTGGATCTACTCTGGTTAAAGCCATGTTGATTTCTTAAAATGGAGTGTGATATTGGTGGGAATCGCAAACCCTTCATCTTTCTGCTGTTTCTCTGTTTGCAGATTACCTCTTCAATACCAGCCTTGAGTATCCCATGTGTTTGTCCTCATAGCATCTCCTCCCCAACCGGGGACCCTGTTCTGTTGTGTATACGGCCCTGAACTGTGCTTGTGGTCTCAGTGCTTGGCTGTTTTGTGTGATGGTATTGCTGTGTGTTGGTTCTCCTGCTGTCTCTGCCTGTTACATGCAGAATTTGGTGCTTAGCTGTTGTAGCCTCAGGGTGGGAGGAGTTGCTCTTTATTTGTAGTGGAGAAAAAGGTGGAGAGATTCTGGGGTATGTTTCTGTCTCCTCGTCTGTCCCACAGTTGGGGAAAACTCATCTTTTTGTGCTGTCCCCTATGCAGGTGAGCTTTGCTCTGCTGGATGAGTAATGTTTTCGTTGAGGGTCTGTCCTGGAGCTTGAAGATGCTTTTCCTAGGTACCTGGTGCCCAAGTTTTCAGGATGAGGATCGTGAACTTGATGTCACCTTGGTGGGAATTCTGTGTGCAGGGATTTAGTGTGCTCATCTTTGAGATGCCAATTACTGCACAGCCAGCTGTGAAAGGTGGGGAAAGGGGCAGATGGCAGAGGTCTGGTTCTTACTTTTATAAGAAATTATTTTCTAGGCAGAGTTTTAGCAGGTTTTCTGCCTCTCAGAGCTAGCTTTGGGCATAAGTAGGGTAGGCGATGGTCAGGGCTGGCAGAACAGCTCTGGTAAGAGGTCACCATCTCTTTGCTGTCTGATTTGTCCCTGCTTGACTGTAGTGCTGCAGCGCCAGAAGAGCGGGATGACAGCAAGGATTTGCAGGCAGTGCCTGGATCTAGCCTGAGTGTTAAGATCTGCAATGCACTGGCCAGACCTACCAAGGTGCAGGGGAAGGGGATGCCTCAGTCCCAGCTGGCTCATTCCTCAGGTGTCCCTGGCCAGCTGGTTTCTGTTTGATAGCAGCTCTCCTCAAGCCTCGCTGCCGCTGGTTTGTCCTAAGCTGTGGCCAGACTCAATTTAGTAAGCAAAATAAATTAAAAAACCCCTGAAACTTCCTGCCCATCGTACATGTACTTCTCAGTATGTAACTCCTGACTGTAACTGTCCCAAACACTTTCCTCTTTTATCAAGATTGTATTTCTTGCCTGGATTCAGCTTCTGTAACCTTAACTCGCATATTGAGCAATTCTTGCAGAAAGGCTATCACTGCATATGCTGAGATATGGTGGTGTGTTGCCTTTCTACTGCTGGAACTTGAATTATGGTGTTGATCAGTCCCCCAAGAAGCTGTACGTAGGCACTGGGGAGAGAGTTGGTCATGATGGAGCTCCACAAGCAAAGGATCTGGTAATGGGAATACTGTCCTGTTGCTGGTTGAGTGTGTGTGCTTTCTCTCTGCATTTTAAAGTCTTCCTCAGTAATGAACAACAGTGTGAATGTATTCCACTGCCACCTCTAGATCGTGTTTAATTCTCCAGAGAGGCCAAGGGGGACAAGAATATCCCTGCTGGGGGAAGGAGATGGTCTATCAGTACCACCAAAGTGGTTTCAGCTCCGTACTGGCCCTGACCTCTGTTTTATCCAGTCTATTTTATTTGCTTTAGCGAGATTGGTTTGGAGGTGACCATTGAGTAGCTGCTCCATAGCCTTGCTCAAGAAGATCCAATGTCAGGCAGTAGACTTCTAGAGTGAAGATACCCTGATTGCCTTTTTTCAGAGTTTGTAGGGCTGTTGCAGCTAGAGAACCTGCTGCTATGAAACCAGCGTGTGTTGTTAGAGCTGTATTATGTGAAAAGTAAACCTCTGTGGTGATGCGGCAGCTCCTGGCACAGTGCGGGGCTGTTGGATGGCAGCCTTGACACCTTATGTTTGCCTTGTGGGTCAAGGCATTGTCTAGTCCTAAGCTGTGTCAACAAGTGCCTCACATGACTTGTGTGTGCATTTAATGAATAGATTTTGTGCGAAAAACTGTATCACTTGAGCTTACCGCTGGGTGTTCAGATTCTTTGCAGCTGGTACTTTTCATATCTGATTCATGCTCGTTTAAAGCAGACCAACTTTGTTCCAAGACTGAGAAGTCTCTTTTCCCTTACTAGGAAGAAGATCTCTTAAACGATGTTTGCAGGGAAGTAGTCGAGAAGTGGTCTGAATCTCAAATTGTTGACGCCAAAGAGAAAAAAGAAGGTAGTGTCGCTGCTCGGTGTGCCTTTCCCTGTGGTATGAGTAATTTGCAGGGCCTTACCAAGACGAGAACTATGTGTTCATCCTGTTAGGATTTAAAACCAATACTGCTAATATGTTTGCAGATCTGACTTGCTTCTCATTGCCATTGCTGCTTATTTACTGTTTTGTCTTGAAATATGAAATGAGGATGAGTAGTTTCACTTCTAGCTGTCCCTAGCATTCTGCTGCTCTTTGGGTTCATAATCCTGCAGAGGAAAAGCTCTTTTTTTTTTTTTTTTTTTTTTTTTCTGTAGGATTTTTTCAGTTTCCTTTCACCAAACACCTAGGGCTTTCTCTCCTTTGTATGCTAACAATGTAGCAGTGGCAGCCAGCACTCTGCTGGTGGGTGCAGTTACTATGGTATAAAATGCCTACGCTACTTCAGTTTACACCAGTTTAGAAAACATGTTTTTATACAACTACAACCGCACCTACGGAGAGCAGTGCTGTCCCCTCTGCTCCTGCTCCCCCCAGGAGAAGGTCCCAGTACACATCAGGAAAGCATCCTTATTTTCCTCTTTCAAAATCTTCTCTTAAAACTATCCCTTTTTTTTTTTCCATAGATGCTTGTAGGAGGGAAGCTCTGTGAGGCTGCTGCTGCTGTACTAATGATGCTCCTTTCCCAGTCATGCGCATAGCCCCTTCCTACCCTCTCTGAATTCATCTTCAGCTGTCGGCTTGGGAGCAAACACCTCTGTCTTGTTCTTGTTCACTGGGGAGGCTTGTTCTGGTGATTGAGTAGAGCTCTGGAGTACAATGAAGTCATATGCTGGAAAGATTTTGCTGGTTTAAGCATACTGCATGGATCAATTAGTAATCTTCCAACTGCATGGACCTAACTGTAGCCGGTGACAATGTAACATCCCTTTTGGCTAAATCCTGCTTTTTGTTTGCTTTGCATTTTTTTGTTGGTTCTGGTTGCAAACAGAATATTGTCACTGATGGATGTCATTCTCAAAATAGTTCTCCCAGGGAGCCCTTTTCTTGAGGTCTGCATTTATATAGTGCTTTTCTTGTCTAAATCTGTGTTTCACAAATATTACTCACCTCTTCTTTATAGATGAGGTGGCTGAACCATCCAGCAGTTCAGTGGCTTTCCCCAAAAATTCACTGAAGTCCATTCTTGGCCTAACCTTGCCTTTGGCTGGGGACAGGGAAAAGTTATGCTATTGTGTGGATTAAATAAAATAAATCCCTCTTTTGGGGACAAGTGATCGAAATTGGCAGAGCTGCTGCCAGACTCCTCCTGCTCATACTGTTGGTTACCTGCAGAGATTTTTCTTACTTGTCACAAAAAGAAGGTAGCACTACGTGACCTTATGGCTAGGTTGTTAGAAATGCAAGGGTTTAATTATATCACTGTGATTCCATAAAAGAGTAAATCCCTGAAGTCAATATCTGCTTAGAATAACAGAATCCTGAGCATAAGTTATTAACAACCTAAAAAAAATTTGGTGTCAAAACCCAAATGTCATTTTAAGAAATGGACAGCAGTACTGCAGTGTTAAATGGTGAATCAGCTGTTTGTTTTCCCTAGGTAGGCAG